GAGAATATATATATATATATATATATATATATATATAATATATATATTATATACAACGATAAACATCAATGGAATGCCCTTAATGATAGATTAGAAGGTGTTCTACTGCATGTTTGGCCTTAAAAAAATTTTCTTTCATGGAATGGTAATTCTTACGGTACAATTAATTATGCCTGAAACTGAAAGCAATTCTAGTATACACTGGATTGACATTTTATTCCAACAAAAAATATGTGTGATATTTCATGAATCTTCTTGTTGAACCTTTTCTTGACACTTTCTTCCGCATCACTTCTACAATTCATAATGTGTGTGTTTCTACTTTTAATTTTCCTTTGTGTGCTTATCTTTATTCTTATTGGACTGTTGTCTTATCTGTCATTGGTGCAAGGTCAGACACCAGAGCTATCAGATGCAAACAGCCATGAAGGTACTTTTTTTTTCCCCTCTATTTCCAGAATTATGCAGTAACTAGGATCTTCCTTTTTAAATTGTTTTAATTTTCTAATTAGTGTTTTAAATGGACAATATTACTTTCTTATTTTAAGTTTCTTTTTGCCGAGGGCAATGCCCTTGTTTGAAAGGCTCAACATTAATCAGTACCTTCATAATAAAAGTTTGAATATTTTTTAGATTAGATTTATTTGAACAAATTCCCATCTCATGTGGACCAAAGTTTCATTGGCAATCTGGTTGAATATGCATAGAAAGAGGAGAGTTAAACTATGCCATCGCAGTATATTAATTTATGGATGTCATTTTGACCCTCGGTGTTGTTTAGCTCTTACATTTAATTTTTAAGTATTATAAATTTATAATTAACAGTGACAAGATATTTTTAGGTTCATCAGAAAGCAAAGAGAATAAGAAAGGAAAGTCTCTGACAAGCAATGAGTATGTACTACTTTCCCTGCAATATTTTTCATCTGTTGTTAGACTGGAAAAGTTGTTTTATCAGATGATGATGGCATCTCCAAATGTTATATGTATTATTTTCTGATTTCCCACTTGACCCTTCAAGGTTGAAGAAGTTTGTGAATAATTGTTGATTCTTAAATATCCTGCCAGGGATGCTGTAAATTCAAAAATAAATATTTTGTCCAGCCTAGTTCAAAGCATGGAACTATTTATATCTTGCATTATCTTACCTGGATGGAAGTGAGAGAAGTGGACGAAAGCCGTAATCGTTTGATACCATTTTTTTTCTTCTAATATTATCAAATCAATAAACCAGACAGTAAAGTGACAGGACCTCATTACTTTGCCTTGAAGGATAAATAAAATAGTTTAGTTGATATGCTCTTTAGTGCATTGCATGTCTAGAATTTCATTGTCAACATTCGTCATTGATGTTGCCACCCTATCACTCTGCCTTCTTCCCTTTTTTCTCATCTTTTGTGCTTAAATATGCATTCAAAATATGATGGATGATATATCTTGCTTCCATTTTGGATGAATTCTTTGTGCTGAAATACTTGTAGCCCGTACTTATTTATTCAGTATGGCAGGATCCTGAAGAAACTGAGGAGATATGGAGTTTCTGGAATCTTATCCTATGGGCTTTTGAACACTGCATACTATCTCACAACATTTCTTTTTGTGTGGTACGCGAACATTTGTGCCTCTTACATGGCTTGCATTTTTGCCCTCTATTTTCTTGGAGAACCAGTTTGTATAAGAAACTGTAAATTTGTATTGAGAGAGTTCCTCAGTTCTTCCTACTTAATTGTGTTCTCTTGGCAAGGGTTGTTACTTGGAGTTGGTCTACCTCTTACATACTATTTGATAAGATTCCTTATTAACAATTTCTACTTCTTTCTAAATTATTTCAAGGTCACTGCAACTAAGAGTACACTTCATGTTTGTTAGGTTTTACATTGCTCCAGCACCTGCAAAGATGGGTTATGTTGCAGCTGTACAAAGGTAAGAACATATTACTGTTATTTTTTCAATGTTTTGTCCATTATGGTTTGTTGATATGGCTTTAACTACTTCAGTGATGTATAGATTTCTCAAAGTGATGGCCATGGTGTGGGCTGGTAGTCAAGTTACTAAACTTTTAAGAGCAGGAGGGTGAGCTACCAAAACCCTTTCACATTGTTAGTTGTGTAATGCATAAACATATGTTCTTGTCTTGTGTCCCAACTAAGCCAAAGAAAAACTTGCAGTGCTAAGTGTAGAATATTTTGTAAATATAGTTACAAACATTGTTCCTATATCATTCCAACTCTTGATTGTAACTTTGTGATAAAGTTTTAGCTGTAACCTGTAAGGATTACATGGCAGTTGGCATTCGGACTGTACACTTTGTTTGAAAAATCATAACTTTTAAAATTTTCATGCATCTTTGAGATTATAGATGTTGAAAATGTTTATGGATGTGGAGGCGTAAGTGATCTTTGTACTATCCTAATATTGCAACTTGTCATTGTTATGCTTATGTTTTATTTGTTTACATCTGTCTGCACATATAAATTTGGCAAAGCCCTTTTGTAATTTATAATACATCAACATGAGGTTAGTACAATGACAACGAGTTTCTTTATGTGCAGAGCATTGGCACTAGCACCTTTTGTTGACAGAGGATTGTCCTGGTTTACTGATAAGTTTAAGTTTCAATCACAAGGGAAGGTAAGTTTGAATTGCATAAATACACACACATATATATATATATACACGAGGAGAGATTCACTTATTCTAAGAGTAAGTCTTAGTAGATTTAATCCACTCAATAACTCATGTTCTATATTAAATTTCAAATCTAGATAGACTTATTTCGTTCAATAACTCGTATTCTACATCAAATTTCAACGATTTAACCATTGAATTTAAAGTTTTTAATGTATAGATCAAGTCCGCAAATTTTTAAAAAATTTGAAAATCATTTGATGTTTCATATCATTAATTCATTTTATGAATATCGGTCAATTTGAATTAATAAAATGAAGTATCAAATGATTTTCAAATTTTTTAAAAATTTGCAGATTTGATCTATGTATTAAGAATTTTAAATTCAATGATTGGATTATTTAAATTTGATGTAAAATATGAGTTATTTATTCTTAGAGTAAACGGATCCCTCCTTATATATATATATATATATATATATATATATATATATTAATTGTCTTTCTCATTGTCGAGTTATTTAATTTGATCTTGTCCAGGCTTTCATGGCAATTGTGGGATTCTGTCTTGGATTGGCCCTCATCGTATTTTTGGTCATCACACTGCTTTGGGCATGATGCCCCTTTTTGCCACATTGAGATGACATTCAAATTCATTTAATCACCTGAAAATGTATAAACGTTTTTAATATCCCATTTTTTTTGCTCTAAAATACATTTTTGAATTTTTAACATGTTCTGTATGACGATGTTTCACAAAATTGCTCATTTTTCATCTATGCGTACTTGTTCCTTACATCATTTCACTCTCGAGTAATTTTATGCTAGTTTGTTCTAACAATGAAATTTTGTGCCGTTTTTATTTTTGTCAACGAATATAAGTATTTAAAGAAGGGGACATTTATTTCTTTTGAAACCTTTAAAAATAATTAAAAATGTAAGTTCTTTAAGCGTAAAAGAGGAAGAGTTTGGAAAAGAAATTGAGATTAAAAATGAAGTGTACTAAAGTGTAAGTTCTTTAAGTGTAAAGGAGGAGTACGGAAAAGAAATTGAGTTTAAAAAAAAAGACTAAATTCAGAAAGAAAAAAAAAAGCAGGGAAAAAGAAATTACAAAAGGTTATTGAATTAAAATAGTAGTTAATAATGTTGTAGTAGCATTGTTCTGTGAATGTAGACTTGGGATATATATTGTTTATATTGGTTCTAATAATTATTTAATTGTACAAATTAGTATTTATAAACCAATGATTCTAATTGTTCTTAACTTCTAATAGCTATTAACAATCTTCACTATTAATGACATTTGTCTTTGATTTTTATAGTTGATGACTTTTATGATCGTATTCTTCATGTCTAAAACATTTTCATTATAGTTCTATAAAAGTGAAATCGATAAAAAAAAAAAAAGGTGGTATACACTATCAAAATAATATTATGAGATACTTAACTAATTATGAAATGATCTATTTAAAAGTCCATTCTTGACACTTAACTAATTTCATAGTAGCTTTGACGGATTGAAATCAATTAAAGATGATATACACGTATACTTAGTCCAAATAATATATTAAATTGAACTGATCTATTTAAAAGACCATTTTCGACACTTGGGGAAAAAAATGGTGATGTTAACCGTTTGGTTTTGCAAAACCTAAAAAAATACTTGGCATTAGTTAGAGCACTGGTTTCTGCCTTGTATAATGCGGTGGTGTTGCTCTTTTTAGTGATTCCTACTACTCTATAAGTTTGAATATTCGTTTTCTTCTTTTAACTATACAAGTGACGGCTATCCCCTCGGTGGTAATTAGTTACTTGTAAAAGTTTAGCCCATCCAAGAATGTTTTATAATTTTTTGCCTTTTGGGTTACTTGGATTGTTTAAAATAACAAAAATGGTGTTACATTAGGGAGAAATGTACAAACATAAAATTATTTACAACAACTCATGAGAGTTGATTCATTGAAGTTGGCATTAATAGTCCATGACTTTGTAAATCTCCTTATAGTCTACCCTTTTTCTCGTGTTCTATATTTTAAAATGAGTATTATCAAAATTTTATTAGAAGAGTTGCGCGGAAATAAAGTGATTTTTTTCCCTAAAAATAATCAAAGCTTAACTTACGCTGTAAAAATATTGATTAGTACAAAGCTCATCATGATGGCAAACAAGAAACTTGAAAAGGGGATGACCAAGAAACTGTAGTCCTGTAATCCACTCAGCTATAGTTTGCTTTCGAGGTGTAACTAGTACGCATATTGATATGCACAAGTCTCGAGACCATTGGAATCGAAAACAATAACAATTCTAATTCCTGTCACAGTGAATTGAACACATAAGACCATTGAACAATTCAGATGTAAAGTCTATTAACACTTACATTCAACTTCTTTGTTTTTTTTTTTTTAGAATAACAATGGAGAAAGCTCTTATCAGAAGAAGAAAAAAATGACAATTTAAACTCGATCCTGTAGATCAAGCTTGAAAAATAACATTTAATGAACAATCAGTCCGCCCAAGATTACCTTAAGAAAATGATCTTAATAGCATGTACTGGTTCCACCAACCCAACCCCTTTTGTTTGCTCTCCCATTGCAGCCAACAGAATTCATACCCTTATCATGACTAGGGATGGCAAAAATACCCGCACCTGCGGGTAAAATCCGCTACGGATAATAAATGAATAGACTAATTGGATACCTGCAGATAATGGAGACGGATAATTTTTTACCCGTTTATAAATGGGACGAGGGCGGGTATGATGGTATCCATACCCGCAGGTACCCGTTTAATAATATTTCTTAAATATCCTAATTATCCTTGTACCACATAATCCTAAAACTATACTCTCTCATCTTTTTTTCTTACAAAAGAGAGGTTGATTAAGTTACCAACATGCGTTAAAGATGTTATAGAATTATGTTGGATGTAATTTAATTAATTTTCTAGCTTTGATTGGACCAATAAAATTTATGTATTTTAAGTCGTTTACTTGCGTTTGAAATTATGAGAGATTGAATTATTGTAGTTTTGTGATGAGACTTTAACTTACTTGTGCGATTGATGTATTTTATGTTATTGATTATCTTGCATTTTTATTATTATTTCAACAAAATTAACGTTAAATACAAGTTCAAAATTAACATTGAATTTTTATTTTTAATATTTCAATGACATTAAATATAAACTTAAAATTACTTGTAATATAATTTTTTAAATTTCTTAAAAATTTTATAGATATCCACAGATATCCATGGATATCCGTGGATATTCAAGAAATTCATGGATACCCGCTTAATGGATACTCACGCGGATATGGAGTGGGTATGAGATCAATTTTCATCCAGCGGGGCGGGGGCGGGTTTACTATTACCCGCCCCATGCGGCCCCATTGCCATCCCTAATCATGACAAACCCTAAATCCTAAATCTTTTACCATAAGAAAGCACAAACAAGCAAAGTTGAATATATTACTTGTGAGACAATAATATTATTATGAGCTTGTTTTGATGCAAGTTATAAGTATTTTTAAGAACTTTTCTGTTAAGAAAAAGTTTTTATTTTTAGTAGAGAAACTTTCAAAAATTCTTATAAACTTCTATCAAAACAGATTCTAAGTGAAACATTGATTCCTACATAACCCTGTGCAGCAAGTAAAATACTCAGTGAGTCGGTAGTTTAGTAGTCAAACTTTAATGTTCAGATATGCTTATAGTCTTTGACTTTCGTCATATAATTGTCTTAACACAGTTAAATCAATAAAAAGTGGAGGGATAGAGTACATGAACATCAATTCATTCAGCTAGTGTGATGAAAGGAATCAACAGCCCCATCCAACATCATAGTTTTAATATAACAATATTGGAACTAAGTTTATCCAAAATCAAATCTATAAAAGAACAGGACAAAGGTTAGGATTCTAGAACCAAAGTCAGCTGCTTACAGCAGCATCACTGTGGCCATCTAAACCTTCCACTAATCTCCTTTTGGCAGATTTGGTTCTATAACACCAAACCTCAAAAGCCTCGCTCAAGTCAGGATAGCCAACCTCGCGATTTCTCATCCAGTCTGCCAAAATGTCTGCTTGATCATTTGATGGCAATGTCAATATCAATGACACAATTGCTCCCTCAATAGCCTGGCATAAATCTTCATCCATTTTGTAAGGAAAACCGGAGTCCTCAACCGCTTTTAAATCCAGCAACGGCTTCATTTTCCTAACATATGGAAACCAGGTCTTCAGCAATTGCACGCGACCTGGAGCTGGAAGAATCACACTACCATAACCAACTGCTTCCAAAACTTTACATGCTACTTCTATCAATTTCACTTTCAAGCCCCACATGGCATGGTCAAGCTTTTTGTTTTCAATGATCCCCAAAATTTTACCAGATATTGAAGCCCAATTTGAAACAAAATTCTTCATTAAATCCATCTTTGGGAGTACATTACACATCCATTCAATATCAGATACCCTTTTCATTATTCTGTTGTACACACCCTCAAACTCAAGGGTAGAGTCCAAAAGCAAGGAAGACAAAGCCATTTCAAATGAATGAATGATATTGTAAACACCCATTCTTACTACTGATTGTACTTCATCATCAGCCATGATGACCGTAGTATCTCCATCTTCTCCTAACATGTAGTCAACTTGCTCTTGCGCAGATATTCGTAACTCATCCCCAAATGGAAAACATGGTCCTTCAATTGACAAAGCAAAGCGAACAGCTGAAACAAACATATCTTTTGTAGTGCTTAGATCTACAGGTTTGATGTTAGGTATTTTTGACATGGCAGTTAGCTATTTCAGTACCACATTTAAATTTGTAATCCTCTGTATTCATTCAGGAACGACATTAGGTTTAGAATGTATGTGCTCTCACATCAAAGAGCAATCTTTATCTAGGAATGCAGACAATAGCAAAAATTCTAAAACTATACTCATTGAATAGGATAGCCCTCTAAGAAGTCTGCTTTCATTTGTATGTGAAATAGTTGCAGGAGTAACATTAAAATCCTCCTCTGTATCCCAAGATCACTAATCTTACACCAATAATCCCATGGAAGTTTGCAAGGTAGATATAACTGGAAATATTTATGCACAAACTGCAAAGCCAACAAAATACGAATCACACTTCAAGAAACAGAATATGTAAGCTTCAAATAAGCATGATACAGAAAATAAAAAATCAGCCATAAATTTCAGCAGCCTAAAGGAATTTTCCAAACACAAGAAACACCAGCTAGTTGACTTAAAAGATAGAACATAACAAATTATCTCCTGTAAACTACAGCAGAATAGATCATCAAAACATAAGTATCTAACTTAACCGAAGTTTACCAAACAAAATCACATTGCTAGGTAGTGCAGGGGAACACTTGCACAGCCACTAAATGCAAGAAATTTAATTCTCAGCTGTTCACATGGAATAATAGGCGAAAAAAGAAAAGTTAGTGGTGCTCCACTGCTCCCCACTTCATATATTCTGGGCCCCAAACTTGTTTCTTTCTCTCTCCAGTAGTCCAGTTGATCTCACGCAGTTACAAAAAACAATGGGTGCATGCATATCTATGGGGTAGATCTGAGGACATTCAGAAGTGGTTAGAAGGGGAAAAGGAGATCCATTCTCTCCTACTGCTAGTCATTAATCAATTGAACATGATTATTCCTTTTAAAAAAAAAAAAACATTTTGAACGCACAGGTCAATAGGCATAACTTTTTAGTTTACCAGTTTGTCAAGCAACACATACAAACTAGACTATTAATCTACATGCCTTCGCACAGGTATAACCATTTAATTGAATTGTAATATGGGCATAAGTCTAAGCACTGAGAACAATTCTGACTAATTGGAAGCACAATAACCATTGTTGGTTAGGAATTAAAAAGCCAGTACACGATGCACACAGCAAATTGAATTGGACCCTATGGTTATCAAATGGAAGTATAAACCTGCAGTCACAAATTAATGATTATTTCATGACAAGAAAGGATATAGAAAGCAAGAAGCACAAAAAGAAACATTAACACAAATAACAAACGCTATTCCAAAACTCAACCCAGAATGAAATTAAATCTGACCTCTCCAAGACATTTTTCCAGCACCCCATGACATTGTCAATGTATCAAAGAACATTTCAAATGGAAAGTCAGACAATATTCAGAAAAAGAGTGCACAACGGAACTTCCATTTCCAAATAAATTCAAATGATTTGAAAAATTCAAGTTAGCAGAACAGACAACTACAACGCCACAGCTATACAAAAAAAAAAAATACCATACACAGAAAGAAACAACAAAACCAAACCAACGGTACAATAAATAAATACATAAACAAATAAATAAGGAAAGTAATCAACTTCTGACTTGAAAATAACAATCGTATTTAAATCAAAACAAAAGCTGATGATCTTGGTGCTGAAAGGGTATTTTAATTAGATCAAAAAGTGGAGATTTTGATTTTATACACAAAGATAACCACGAATCAAATTAGAAAATAAAGACAATGAATTTACCTTCAATCCGATGAACAGAGAAAAAGGGTACTGGAATAGAATTTTGTTCCAATCTGCTCACTTCACCAGCTTCAAGGCCAAAGAACAAAGCCCTAAGAATACTGTGGCCTTTAACTCCAAGTTTTATCATTAAAAACTATGCCAATCTAAGAGATAAGTGATATTTTTTTTGGAATTTAAATAAAAAAGTTGTAAAATTAAATATGTCAATATATTTCATATTTCTATTTTATTTTTTAATTTGTATTTGATTCTTCTATTTTAAAATAAAATTATTTAATTTTTTTTATTTTTAAAATATAAATTTTGATATTTTCATCAAAATATATATTAATTATTAAATTTTAATATTTACGTGATGTAACAGTGACATAACATTTGAAAATGAAAAAAAATTAGAAAAGAAGACATGCAAATAAAATTTATTAATGAAAGAAATATTAATAACTTATTAAAATAGATACAATTAGATATATTTTAAATATTTTTTAATTTTTAATTTTACACATTATTTAAGTAATATTAGAACATTAAATAATATTAAAATTTAATAATCAATGAAGATTAAATTAATAAAAAGACTAAAATTTAGTATTTTTAAAAATAAAGAGACTAATATCTCTATTTTAAAATAAAGAAATCAAAATTATCGATAATATATATATAT